GGAGTCGAACCAAATGCTCTGGGTGAGTGAAGACTACCTTGAGTGGGTGATTGGTAATGACCAGAATTGGATGTATTTGAAAGCAGGGTAACATGATGAAGGCAAAAAGTTTGTTTTTTCATGATAGGGTACTTTTGGCATTCCTCAGGACATAGCTAGTGTAGTAAACATGGAATTGTTTGCCCAGTTCTTCCCAAACTAGTAACAAATTGACGACCTCCGACCTGACTCCAAGGTAGAGAGAGCTCCTCACTCGGCTTTAAACTCTGCAGGAGTGTAGGTGAAGCTAGGGAGTCAATGTACTTTCTGAATACTTATTTGCACTTGACAGTTCAATCAAAATGTTTGGTCTTTCTTAGGACATTAAAGAATCTCAGGCATTTGTCGCTCGACTTAAAGATGAATCGGTTAAGACCGGCTATTCAGCATGTTAGCTTTTTACCTCTTTCGTGCTTTAGGGAGAAGCCATGTTCAGTAAGGCATGCACCTTTACTGGTTTTGCCTCGACACCACCTAGAAATTTTTTGGTTGAAGAGCCTAAAATGCACATCAGGGGATTCCAATTCATGTAAAATTTTCTGCGAGTTCAAATGTTTATTTTAGGTTTTTATATGTTATTTGGACACTTTACTTTTTACTTGCACAACATCTACATACACTTCATTATTTCTTCCATTTTATTTAGCAAAAAGTACATTTATAAGTTGCTAATAAGTGGCCCCAACATTTTTAAGCCTAAAGGGCATCACATTAAAACAATACACTCCTCAAAAGTGATAATACACTCCTCAAAAGTCATAAAACCCATTTTTTTTCATCGGCGGAGTGCACCTTGATTTGATGATAGCTAGAGAAAGCAACCAGGTAGCTCATCACAGAGTGTTTGACCGCTGAGTGCACCAACACATCAATCCTCGGCAGTAGGTAACTGTCCTTCGAGCAGGTGGCATTTAGGTTGATGAAGTTAACACACATATTTCATTTCACATTAGACTTTTGCACCATCATCACATTTGACACCCACGTTGGGTAATGCAATTTTCGGATGTAGTCAACTTCCAGTATGTTTTTCACTTCTTGGATCGGCCTGGCTAGAGTGGCAGCCGAAGATCTCAACTTCTACTTGGCTGGCCGAACAGTGTGATTGATGTTCAATCTATGGAATAAGACATCTAGGGAGACTCCAAACATATTGGCGGTGGACCAAGTGATGACGTTTCAATTCTCTTGAAGTTTTTGGACGAGAAGTCCTTTGACCTGCAATCAAAACCTTGTTGAATAGAAAGAATTTACTTGTCTCCTTGTCGGTGGCAGGGACTTTGAGGGTGGTCTTGCTGGTCTCGGCCGACCTCTCGTCGGCTCTATAGGTAGAGTGATTCTTGAATGACTCTAGTCACTGCTTGAAGATAACATGTCCTCGATTGCTCCAGGTCTCCCCAATTAGTAATGATCTTCCCATCTTCTGGGAACTTCACAACCACATGGTAAGTAGAGGCCACCACCCAAAAATTGTTTCGCAACAGTCGAAAGAAGATGGCGTTCTACGTGGGCGGAGAGTCGAATAATAGGAAATCTTCGGACCTTGAGAATTGGTGATCCTCATCTCCCCAAGTGACCATCAGCGTGAACATTACAGGGCTTCCTTCCTCCCCCCATGAAGCCAAAAAGAGGGTCGGATAGTGCTTTCATTGGTTGTGCCTTCAGATTAAGTTGTTGAATACAATTTTGAACAAGATGTTCTCCTAACTTTCAATTTCAATGAGTATACTTCCCACTTGGTAGTCGTTAATCAAAGTCATATTGACAATTGTGTTGTTGTAAAATTAAACTTTCGTCGGCAGGTCTCATTGGTCAACGTGACGGGCGGATGTGTGGTCCTTCAGAGGTGAGGTTTGTGGTGCAAAATTATCCCTACCATACTCTTTTCAGGCTTGATTGTTGGGAGAACTCTCCGCCTCCTCCGAGTATTGCTGGTATTATACCAGCAATCCAGATGGAGTTAGTTCAAACATCTCATCATTCGCTCCACCAGTTGTCTTGGCAGCCAAAAAATTTTTCAACTTCCCGACCTTGATCAAGTCTTCAAACAAGCTTCTGAGGAGTCTGCACTCTTCCGTGTCATGGCCGTGGTCTCTATGGAAAGCACAAAATTTGTTCGGGTTTTGGGACAATCTTATGGCCCTCATTGACCAAGGTTTCTTGAAGTAATCCTTTTCTTGGATGGCTTCCACCAGTTTGGCCATTGAAATTCATATGGGGTTCATTTTGAGTTTTTCTAGTTGGGTTGTCGGTCACTCATTGGGGTGAGCCAGTTGTTACCCAGGGTATTGAGACCACCTATCTTGACAGTTGTTCTTCCGACTCTCTTTATCGTCGTTTTGCGGGTCACTTTCGTAATGTAAGTGAGTAGGCTGACATGGGACGTCCTTCACCTACCAAGCATCATCTATCGATGCTCTCTTCTAAGATTGGGCATCAACGATTGCCTTCCTAGCTTCTTCCCGATTGTTAAGGACTAACTCCTCATTGGCAATATGATGATTAGCCATCTCTAGCAGTTTTTCCATCGACTTTGGTTCGCACAAGCACAGAGCATATTTGACATGCTCGTTCTTTACTCCCTACGTCATGGGGGTTTGCACAATCATAGGTTCGATATTTTGAATCTTCATCATTTCCCACTGAAATATATTGATATACGAGCGAAGGGTCTCTCATTCTTTTTGTTTGATCAGTAAGAGAGCTTGAGACTTCTTCTGTGACTTTTGTGCACTGATAAAATGGGCTATGAATAGTCATTTAAACTTGAAGGAGGGAATGAATCCTACCGGAGGAGCGTTGAGCAAACAAATGGGCAGCTCCCTCAACGTAGTGAGGAACATAAGGCACTTGAATGCGCCAGTGATCTTGAATATGATGACTGCCAACTCGACAGTGGCTACGTGTTTGGCCAGGTCGGTGAGTCGTTTGTACAAATTGAGTTGGTATATTTGAACTTCTCAAGGGGTTCAGCCTCAGAAATATTTTAAGAGAAGGTGTTTTCCGCGTGGCGGAGGGCTGTGGTCCACATGGTGTGATTGCTCTCCATCAGGGTTGATCCGATAATGTCCTGGTAATGAAATTCATCACCCTCATCTACTATTGGTTGGGACATTTGACCATTGGGTAACGGCTCATCTCACCTGTCATTGGTTGTTGCTCTGTGCCGGGGTTCGCGCCTTGGTGATTATATTCGTGTTGGTTCAGGCTTTGCAGGTTTGGCCTCCTCTGGCCAAGGATTCTTGAAAGGCACCCACCATCCGTTCTCTCACATCTAGCATCAACTGCTCTATCATCTCAATTACTTGTTGCATAAAATCTCTCTTATATCATCCACATCTACATGGTTTCGTGTTTCTTGGGCGGCTAATTTTCCACTGCGCTATGATCCTCTTCTTGTGTGTGGCATGAATTCACGCTCACCGTACCTTTAAGAGTGTTGAACACAAGAGTTTCCAGGAATCACACCCAAGGAATAGAGCACGAAAAATGAGAGAGAAAAGATGAACATTGAAGAAATGAGTGTTCAGAGCGCTTTTTCTCATGAAAGGTTCACTCATTTATAGATATGGAAGGTACCATGGATACATATTTACCCTTAAGTTTTTTTCCTATACAAATAAATCTAAGGGCTGGAAGATCATTTGCACAATATATGTAAAGGTTCCAGAGGATGGATTATTGGTTGACAGCTACAAACTTTGCTCATCACTCCTATGCTTGTTGGTTCGGCCTTGACGGGCTGAATCATGTGGAGGTGGTTTGAAAGTCTCTTGGTCGAACTTATTTATGACTACAACTAGGGCCGCTGACTAACCTACCTCATTCAATTGATGATTGACTTGCCTCAACTTGACTCATTCAGCGGATGTCATTCATTTGAATATTAAGTTTGTCGTCGAGCTAACAAGGTGAATGACTAGGCAAAGCTCTGGATGTTTTTCTTGTCTCCGCGTCTATCTCTCCCTAGAAAAATTGGATTATTTTATTGGTTGCTCTTTGAAAACTTTGACCGAGGGGTTCACCCCATTTTGTTGCGTGCTCATGTTCTGCCTTGGTATTCATGCTAACACGGTCCTGTCACACAATATGCTTTGGCCAAAAATGAGCATCTTAACGAGATAAATCTAATTAGCCCATTCTCAATCAGTTTTGACATCATTGAGACAACATGTCCATAAAAATGAAGGATCAAGTCGATCAATTCTAACCATTCCATGGAGTGTTCTCTTTTTCAATCAATATGACAAGGATGCTCCTTCCACAATACTATAAATAATCCTTATTTTTACATATATAACGATGACGAGAGATTTGTATAATTTAGAAGTTTATATAGCTCTACTTGTCAACATCTATTGTTTGCCGCCTACCATCATCAGCACCAAGTAACAATAACTTCCAGCGTTCATCATTGTCAACAATTCAACAATCAGTAAACTTTTTTTATCTTGAAAAAAAAAATGGAAATATTAATTTCTTTATTAATGTCGCATAAAACCTAAACACCTATGTAATGTAATTAATACAATCTAAGCTATTCTCATACATCTTTGATATTCCACCAACAATCTCATTAGTCTAAGAGCATATTCTGATTCAAATTTAAGCTCTAAAAAAACTAAACATTCAAGTTAAAAAGTTTTAAAAATTGCCTCAAAGATCATTCAAACTCCATAATTAGAAAATAATAATATTAAAAATACCTTAATCCAAGTCTAAAATAACTTGAATAAATTACTTATAAGTGTGTTAAGAAATTCCTTAATATTACTTAAGAGACAAATTAACATCTGAATTTCATCAAAACGATTGTCTTGACAAGGAAAATCCAACTAGCCCAATATCAATTAATTTTTAGAACTAATAAGATAAACAATTTTCTATGAGAAACACATCAATAGTCCCCCCTTTTTTTCCCAAAAACAGCCAGGAAGGGAAAGGAAGAATGAAAACAGAACCTTTTCCTCCGCCGAATAGCTGGTGAATGGTCCGCCGCCGTCCAAAGAGCTTCCCGTTGCTAGTCTTCAGCTGCCGCTCGTCGTAGCTATAGCCGACGGAGAAAATTCGCGGCGGCATTTTTGCTCGCTCTTTTGCTTGACGGCTTTAATTAATGGTCTAGGTAGAGGGGATATGCCGGACCTGCCAGTTTAGGCTTCTTTTATGGAGGCGCGATCGGGTGCTATGCTTCGAGGGGGAGAAGAAGAAAGGGATTGCTTTACTGTATCGCCGGGGTTAAGTTGCAGGCTCGCTTCATAGTTGTTGTTACTATTAATGATATCGGCGGCAAATGACATCAAGATTTTATTATGATTTCAAAATATGTTAAATTATTCAGTCTATATAAATCATTATTTTAAAAACTAAAACTTTTTTTTTTTATTTTCTTTGTACTAGATATTTGATCATACAATACCTAATCTAATATTATCATATAAAAAAAATAATGTTATTATATTTTATTATATGTTACATTGAAATTTTATGATAAGAGTGTTCAACAAAATATATAATATTTGATAGTTAACTTTATCATAAAACAACATAAGCAATCCACATCTCTATCAAGTTAACCTGTGTTCAAATAATATTTTGAAGAGTATATTTTGGGTTTTGTATACAAAAAAATACGTCAGCACGTATCTTGGTGCAATCCAATAGCAAGGGGAGAAAATGACAAATGATGGGTCAGATGCTCGGTGGAGGGTTGAGCGATCGTCTGCAATTTGAATGCAAGGTGATTGGTCAGACGACCGATGGTGGTTCGAGTGATTAGCTGCAATCATGTCGATCACGAATCCCAAGACAAGATATTCAAGGATCAAATCACCTAATGATCGACTCCTCACAGAACCAACAGTTAATGGCTTTATTATCAACTAGACATTAACGAGGGAGTCTAAGACAAACAATTAAGGCAGACGAACGATTGAGAGACCTCGCACAGATCAGATAGGTCGACCTGTCTTATTATATTCAATATTCTATAATTTACTAAAAGAGCCCCCCAGAAACTAATGATTAGAGGGCAGATCTGTAATTTCAATGAACATGCTCCTATGTCTTTAAATAGGGTTCATTTCATAATAAAAGCTTATGCATTTCTACTGCTCTCTAATGTTTCTTCTTCCTACATTGTGTTACACTCTACTCCTTGTGTGTGTTTCCTAGAAACTTTTGGATTCAGCATTCTTTTAGGTGCAGTGAGCGTGAAATCATGTTATCAACAAAAACAGGAGCACAACAGCAGCTAGAAGAAACTAGTCAGGAAGACATAGTAGAGATAGTGTGCACTAGAAATTTTGTATAAGGATTCAAGTAACAGGGTCTACAATATCTAAAAATTCAGATCACGAATCAAATCTCAGGACAATTTGCAGAGGTCCTCAGAGTGTTGGCTGCCTTGAAAGTAGTCCCTCTTCTAGGAGGATAACGTGTTCAGTAAGAGCCACATAACCCCCATTGAGAGGAACCACTGACGCAAAATGGGAGGAGACCAAATCATCTACCAGCGAGAGTCGATGAGGTGGTATTTTAGGACAGCTTCAGATCCGCCCCCATGGTGGAACAACATTCCCTTGGGCGAACTGAAGTATTTGGCAACCAGAGAATGCTTTCTCCCTTCAAATCTAGAGAGCTAAAACCCTTGAAAAAGTTTAAACAACCAGCTTTGGAATCATAAAAGAGACGATCAGATCTCAAGGATCACCTCGCATTCTTTGATTCATCAATGTGCCTATTAAATATCTTTGACACGCCAAGTGCAAACTGTTCTACATAATGTTGAGATCATCTACTTTAGATGGTTCAATGCGCTACCAGTTGGTGGCATTACCTTCTTTGCAGCATTCAGAAGACTCTTTCTAGCACAGTACGCTAGTGTCCAGAGACCTAAGAAGAGCGCTCAATCTCTATGGTAGTTAAAATAAGGGACCAACGAGAGCTTACACTCGTTCATTGTGAGGTTCAAGAGAGAAACACTATAGGTGGAGGATTTCATACCCGATATGGTGCAGACCGCTCTAACACAAGTTTGAGATTGGAGAGGTTTCGTTTTGACCTTGCCCTCGTGGAAGCCTAAAGCTTTGCCGAGTTGCTAGAGATGGCTATTAAATACGTCAAGACGTATGAAAATGCCCATGAGCCCTCCAACCAAAGGCACGAAAAGTGACCATCATAAGGTAGCAGGTGGAAACCATCGGAGAACATGTGACCACCTCGTCCAACCACGTTGTGAAAGTCACCCCGGCAATAATTATGCTCACCATTGAGGCTACCAACGAGTATGAGTTGTGACTCATAATCAGTGGCTGATCCAGTATCATGAGAGACTGACTCAGTACTACGAGCAACCGTGGTATAATCACAAGGCCCCTCAGGCCACTCCTGTAAGGGTGTTAATAGTGGAGATAGCAGATGCCATACAAGATAATAATTTTTTTAAGAAGGCACCGCCAATGAGAATCGGATCTTCTCTCTAGCAAAAAAAAAGTATTGCAAGTACCACAGATATTGCAATCACGATATGGAGGAATGTAGGCACTTCTAGAGTCTGATCGAGGAGCTGACGAAAGAGAGAAAGTCGAAGGAATTTATCCCTCCAGGAGTCACGACTGAAAGGCTAGGTAACACGATATGGAGGAATGTAGGCACTTCTAGAGTCTGGTCGAGGAGCTGACAAAAGAGAGAAAGTCGATGGAATTTATCCCTCCAGGAGTCGCGACTGAAAGGCTAGGTAAGGTCCCGATGAGGGTTGTACTAGACAAAGCAATCTTTAACAACGCCATCCATATTGCAGGATTTATACCTACCATATTTGGAGGAATCGAACCATTTAGGCTAGAAAAATGGAAGAGGCAACAAACTAGGGAACTCAGTACCTTCACTTTCACCCTAAAACCCAAGTCATCCATCGATATATTTCATAGACACTGATATACCCTAGAGAAAGAACCATCACAATGAAGCTATCGTGGTGACAACAGTGCTCAATAACTATCAAGTTGGGAGCATTTTGATTTATATAGGGAGCTTTGTCAACTTGTTGTTTAATAGGTGTTCAATAAATTAAGTCTTACCGTCGACTGAATGATTGCACCAGTTAGACCATTGTATAATTTCTTGAGTGATAGGAAGGAAGCACTCTTAATTATGAGTGGGCTCCAAGTCAGCTGGGGTGAGATTATGTAACAGTTCAAGTCGACGGATGATTTCCTCGTGGTGGATTCTCACCTGACATATAATGCTATATTTGGTCACCTGCTCCTTAACAATTTTAGAGTGGTGGTCTCTACTTATCATTTATTAGTCCAATTTTTGCAAGATAAATAAATCGTCACAGTTAGAGGGTTCCTGGAACATTCCCGAGTTCGTTACCTTCGAGTCAGAAGCAATGTGGAGCACGACCACTCAAGACATGAGGTCTCATAACCAATGAGACCACCCTCAAAATCTCAATCATTGAAGGGGAGCAAGGTAAATGTTTTCTAATCAACAAAGCTTTTAACGCAAGACATAGAGAACTATTGATCTGGTCCTTTCAAGAAAACTGAGATGTTTTTGCATGGAAAATAGCTGAAATGTTTGGTGTACCAATTGATGCAATGTGCCATCGTTGAACAAAGATTCATCACTCATCTACTGAAACAAAAAATCAAGAGTGCCATCACAACACTAGCAAGACCCATAAGGAGAAGGTGCGGAAGTTGAGGGATGCTGGCTACAACAAAATAGTGTAATATCCCACAAGGATCTCCGATGTTGTAATGGTGTAGAAGGCAAATGAAAAATTGAAGATGTATGTTAACTTCATCTTCTTAAACCAGGTCGATTCAAAGGATGCATACCTGCTGCTGGGGATCAACCCAATTGGTGGATTTGACAGTCAACCATTCTATTTAAAGTTTCCTTGATGCGTACTCTGAGTATCACCAAATTAAGATGCATCCAGCTGATGCCAAAAAAAAATTCTTTTATTACTAGCAAAGAAATTTATTATAATAATGTAATGCTCTTTGGGCTCAAGAATGTTTGAACAACTTATCATCATCTCAAGTTTTTAATCCAAATCATTAGAGAAAAGCATTGAGGTTTATGTTGATGATGTGTTAGTTAAGGCCAGTCAGTCGCACAAAATATAGATGACTTACAAGAAACTTTTCAAACAATTAAAAAATTAGCATGAAGTTGAGTTTATTGAAATGTACATTTGAAACCTCCATCGGTAAATTCTTGATGTACATACTAACTCTTGAGGGCATAAAAACCAAACCTAAGAACTTTGAAGCACTCATGGATGTCATCCCCCAAAAATATTTTAGAAAAACAAAAATTAACAAGCCAAATTGCTGGACTAAGCATGTTCATCTCAAAACTAGGAGAAAAATATGCCCCTTTTTTTAAAGCACTTAGAAAAGCCAAGTGTTTTGAGTGGACAGTCAAATGTGTAGAACCCTTTGTGAGCCTCAAGCAATTTCTCACCTCTTCCTTTTGCTCTAGAGCTCTCCATTTACCTAAGGGATCATCTCAGAGACCGTTAGTTTAGTTCTGGTCATAGAATAACTCGAGAAGCAATACCCAATATACTAAACTAGTTGAGTCCTTAGAGACTTCGAACACAGTTACCCAATAATGAAAAAATTAACATTTGCTTTGATGGTTTCAGTACACAGGCTCTGATTGTACTTTCAGATACATCCCATATAATAATTTTTGACCACCCACTAAAATTTGTCCTCATACGGTCAGAGCATTCCGAGCAACTACTTAAATGGGCAGTTGAACTTAGTGTATTTAACATTTCCTACGTCCCTCGAAGGGTAATAAAGCCACAGGTTCTCTCTGACTTCTTGACAGATTTTTCCAAACAGCTAAAAGTTGGGGAGGAGCTAATGATCTACAAAATCATATGGACTCTATTCACAGATGGGGACTCTAGCTGATTGAACGCTTGTCTTAGGGTGTTTTTATGTTGTCCAATGGAAGAAAATATCTACCGCTAAGTTGAGGTAAGTTTTCGGGTTAGTAAAAAACAAGAAGTATATGAAGCCTTGATCACAAATCATTCTTTGCATCCAAAAAGGGAGCTCTCCACATACAACTAAAGTTAGACTCACAGCTAGTTGTAAACCAATTTAATGGAGAATTCAAAGCAAGAGTAAAGACGATGGAAAAATACCTTGAGAATGTAAAAATTAAAATCGACAGATCGTCGACATCCTATCCAAAAATATCCAATTAGGAGAAGGATAATCCCAAAG